GCAAGACCATGGTCGTAATAAATGACGTATTAGTGAAATGTACAATTGTCTTGTTTTTCCTCAATTCTGTAACATTTTCTTATCATGTTTTTCTATGATTTAGATAACAAGTTACAATTTTTTATTATTAGTTTGATTTGTCAAATATTTACCAAGGTGTGATTGTTGATTTTTATAGGCCACATAATTAACACAGTTATTTTAGGATATAAAGAACTATCTTTATTCATACTCCAACACAAATTCAAGCATTCATCACATCATACAGATTTAAAACTTTCTTCAAATTCTAGGTTAAATTTTCAAACTTCCCCTTTTAAGTACTGGTTGCCTTTGATTTCTTACATTTATAAGCCCCCACCCCCTTTCAAGTGTAGCTTTTGAACAAACATTTTTTTTATTATCAAGGTCACACCAAAATGGTATGGTGAATTAAGACAGACAGAACTAGAATACACTAGAGGTTATTTATTCACACAAGCTGTGCTATTGTTCTATTGACATCTAGCTGGAATTTGCCATATATGCCAAGACATGTTTGTATGTATTTGTTTTTGTAACTTGTAATATAATTTTGATAATTCAGTATGTATTTTAGTTTATGTTATTAGCTAGTTTAATGTGTAACATAAGTGTTAGATATACACAACTGTTTCAGTTATATTTAAAATTATAGTTATGATTTCATAGATATAAAGCACGAGTGTTAAATTGAGTATTTTTATAATTGATATTTATCGCAGGTTTAATTACGTAAGTGTTTACAAATCATTTATTGTGTAATTGACGTCATGTTACTCGACCCTTCTGAATTTTTCTCATTGCTTTAAGTGGGTATTGTTATGTCATAATGTTCTGTAGTTTGTAGAAAATTGTAGGCCTCAGTCGAGCAATATATATATATAGGCGACGAAGTAAGTAAGATGAATTAGTGAAAGTAAAAGTGAAGTTAGACTGTGTGATTGTGAGTTTGGCCATAAAGAGTGTATAGTGGCAATTTCCAAAGTGAGTTTCATAGCTTGTATTGTAATAACAGAGATAGAGGAGAATAATTTGTCTTGTTAAAGAAAAAAACCGCCTGTGTGGACTTTGACGAAAAGGAGGCAATTACTTAAAGATCTGGGTACAACTGTGAAAACCAGTAGTGTAACTAATTTTTTTGTACGTATATTTGACTTGTTTTAGATATATTATTTTAAAACAAATGGATTGTATGCTGTCCATTTATTGTTGAAATTTATCACAGACACCTACTGTAAAGAATCTGGCCAAATATAAAACCTTACAATAAAATTTCTTAAATAATAATAACTACATAAGCCAAATCTGTTAGGCATGTAACATGAATCTTTACATTGTAACAATTCTGTTTCAGTGCCTGATAATTTGCTTAGCAGGTCCAATCTTGTTTGATGTTGTTGAATGAAGAGCCAAAAACATTACTCGTAGCGAGAGTACCCAACCTGAGGGGAGGGCGGTCATAAAAGCTTTTTGTAGTTTGCCTGTTGCTCTAATTGAAACTATTTATTATTAACCCTAATTATTTATGTAGAATTTTAAGTATCTCTTCTGGTAGAAGTTATTACATATTTGTGTAAAACTATTTTTAGAATTAAGTCTTCTGTTGCTACTAAGCTTCACAAATAATCACTCACCTATTTATAGTAAGGCTGTGACAATCAGATTTTCAATCCTTGTCATAGATAGTAGCTTATATAATAAGTAATTAGTTCTGAACCTATTTTCAGAGGGGGGGGGTAGCTTTACATACAAATCTCTTTGTAGATCATTATAGACACTATTTTTGAAAACATTCAGATAAGTTGATTGATTTGAATTAGTCTGTCAAGGTGACCCAGGTTCGAATCCTGGTCACTAACATCATAGAAATAGTCCTAGCTTCTCAGAACTTTCTTGAATATGGCAGCAGGTTAGCAGCTTAAGGGTAGGATAAAACTAGTTGATAATCAATTATAAAAACAGAGTAATAACTAATTAATAATTAAACTTAGATTATTGTATTGGCTATTAACAATGGCAGCAAGACACTTTTTCAGAATTTGTGGTTATTAACTAGATTCATAGATCACTTGAACTGTTCTTTTTCAAATAGTTTGGTTATGGAATTTAACTAATAGAAGGAATAAGATGTTGCTATGAGACTCCTCATTCTAAATTATCCCTGATTATGAGCCTGAAAAACATTAGGGTGAACTTTACGAAAATATCTGTTTTTCACTGTTATAAAGTATTGCTAGCTGTTCTTATATTTATTAGCAGTAATCTGATGCTGTCTTCCAGGATTCCGAGAGTTGTTGTTATCACCTACCCAGGATATCTTTAATTATGAACACAGAACTGTCCATCAGGACATGACTCAGCCACTGTCACACTACTATATATCTTCTTCTCATAACACGTAAGTTTCTGTGTATTTTGTGTTGATAATCTAGCCACTGTCATACTACTATATATCTTCTTCTTATAACACGTATGTTTCTGTGTGTTGTGTTGATAACCTAGCCACTGTCACACTACTATATATCTTCTTCTCATAACACGTAAGTTTCTGTGTGTGTTGTGTTGATAACCTAACCACTGTCATACTACTATATATCTTCTTCTTATAACACGTATGTTTCTGTGTGTGTTGTGTTGATAACCTAGCCACTGTCATACTACTATATATCTTCTTCTCATAACACGTAAGTTTCTCTGTATTTTGTGTTGATAATCTAGCCACTGTCATACTACTATATATCTTCTTATAACACGTTTGTTTCTGTGTGTGTTGTGTTGATAACCTAACCACTGTCATACTACTATATATCTTCTTCTTATAACACGTATGTTTCTGTGTGTGTTGTGTTGATAACCTAGCCACTGTCATACTACTAAACATACGTGTTATAAGAAGAAGATATATTCAACACAACACACACAGAGAAACTTACGTGTTATGAGAAGAAGATATATAGTAGTATGACAGTGGTTAGGTTATCAACACAACACACACAGAAACAAACGTGTTATAAGAAGATATATAGTAGTATGACAGTGGCTAGATTATCAACACAAAATACACAGAAACATACGTGTTATGAGAAGAAGATATATAGTAGTATGACAGTGGCTACGTTATCAACGCAAAATACACAGTAACCTAGCCACTGTCATACTACTATATATTTTGTTCTCATAACATAATTCCGACAAGATACCTTACTTCTGTTTATGTACAAAGCTATTCTCGTTCGGTGTTGCCTTCTATTTACAAAAATTTCACATGCCACAAGCCATTCACTGATTCTTGCAGGCAAATTATCATGCAACAAACCTCCATCGGTAGTAGTGCCACACATCCACATGACTCATGTGACTCCCTCTATGCTATTTTAGCTAACTATCACTTCTCGTTTGGCAGTGCTCACTTTCAGACATTTATTTTTTGCTTTCTTCAAGTGTTTTTTATTGTATCTTCATATCAGTTTCTCTCACCAAATTTACTAGTTATTATACAATAATGGTGTGGAATTATTTTATATTTCTACCTAGTTACGGAACTTAATACTTCATTACAAATCATTTTGAATATGAATTCTGAATTCTAAGTTACCATTTTGGAGGTTATATCTTCAACCAACACATTTACACAGGCTTCAGGTGGTGGTGTTCATCTAGACAATTATCAGCTGTACTACTTTGGGAGATGGACTGCCCAATGAGCTAACCTTTGTCAGGCCTCGACTTGAGTTTGCGGTCCCACACATTTTGAAATATGGGCTGCCGACATTGGAAAGATTAAGCATTATACTGTTATGTGTTTTTTTTTGTTGTTAATATTGTTACCTGTAGTTTTTTAGGTTCAATAACATCCCAGCAAACACATTTTCATATTAAATACGTATTAATAACATAGTGGTTTGGTAGTTATCACATAGTGAACTTATGTAACTTTTACGTAAAAGTATGAACTACCAGAGATGTTGTTACTTTGTAGTAATATTACATAATGGAATTACCAATATACCACCAACTTGGTGTGTTAAAATAGCAACATGGTACATTCCTATTACCATTCTACTACATTAATAATGCTTGGAGATGGCTTGAATGGGTAATGAAGAAAAACTTTAATATAAGTTGAACATAACAGCAAATGTACAACTTATATTAAAGTTTTTCTTCTTTACCCATTCAAGCCGTCTCCAAGCATTATTTGTCTCAAAGTGGGTTCCTCGTCATCGAATTCTACTACATTGTAACTACGTTCTCACTACCCTTCTGGCAAGTTGATACTACCTTCAATATACTTTCAATATTTTCATTTGTAAAAACAAGTAGAAGTAATATCATTTATTCAATATCATTGATACAATATTACAAAAACAAATTATACATTCTTTTTGATACAGCATTACAAGTTACAAAAACTAATTATACATTCTTCTTGATACAACATTACAAGTTACAAAAACTAATTATACATTCTTTTTGATACAACATTACAAGTTACAAAAACTAATTA